CCGACGGTTTTCACCGTCGGAAATTTGCCTGTTTTCTTGTAGTGTTATGGTATCCTAAGATTGTTGGAGAAAAGAATGATAATGTTTCATCACTTCACCGGCCACTGTGTTGGCCGATCCCTAAAATCAAATGTCAAATGMTAGATATTTACATTGATCAATTTACAAAAGCACTCGTATGTTTCTCATTTATAAGAAAAAAGAATTTCATACTCATTATATAAGAGAAAGACAAACATTGATATATCTAAACCTATCCAAACAAAAACAACAAAAACCAAAAAAGCGAAGAAAATAAAATCAACTAATAAACCTTGTTGAAGAACAACACCCCATGTATAACATAAACCAAAAGGACGTGCCCTGATAAGTACTTACAAAAACAAAATAAAAATTGATCAAATATGAAATATTAAGCATACAAACAAAAACAACAAATAAAGGACTTAAAAACAGCACAAATGAACGAATGGATAAAAACCATACCAGAGTTTGATGTATATATATGGAAGGAGGTATAGTTTAGAGAAAATTTGGGTTTTGTGTTTCCAAATCTTTTTAGAAAAATCAATATCTTATTTGAGTATTTTTTTGCCGATTTTGTATGTATTTTCATCATCTTTAATAGCCTTTTTTTTGTTGCAAATATTACGGAGCTAATAATTTAAAAAATATTTGAGAGAGTATGTTGATGATGGATTATTAGTTGCTAAAAATCTAGAAATATTAAATGATATGTAAATTATTAAATATCATTACTGAAAAATATATTGAAGATTTTATCATTGATTTACTGAAACAAGTTCTTGTTCACGAAAATATTTTGGAAAAGAAATTAACAACAAATTATCAATATCTTCAATACAAAGATTTTAATTTTCAAAATTTCTTATTTTAATTTTTGAAATTAATTATTGAAATTTAATTTGTGATAAAATTTGTATTAAAGAGTAATTAAAAATTTAAACCATGTCATCTTTTTCTATAGACAAGTCATAATTTTAAGCCAATAAGATTAAAACAAATAATCATTCTCACTAATTGTACTTCTCTTTTAATAGGAAGGGGATAAAATTTAAACAATATATTATAATATTTCGTTTTTCATTCAAAAAATGTTTAAAATTATTTCTTTCTCACAATAAAGTTTTAGTACTAAAATTTATAATAAAGATTTAACAATTTTCTTAAAGAGATTTTATTATGTTTTATGAGAAAAACTTCCCAAATTATAAAAACATATGTACATATTCTTAAACAAAATTAATTTCTAACACAAGAGAATTCAAAAATTAAACAAATCTATTTTTTTATAAAAACTTCCCAAATTTATAAAACAAATATACATATTGTGAAATATTTATTATAAATTTTTGAATTCTCTTGTGTTAGAAATTATTTTTTTCTAAGAATATGTATATTTGTTTTTATAAAATTATGGAAAGAATTACAAATTTAGTGATAGAAAACTTTGGTAAAATATATTGTTTTGATTCACATTTGTCATATCATTTTTTTTTAAACCATGTCAAAATAAAATTGGTAAGAGTTATTCTAGTGATAACACAAACAAATTTGAAAAAGATCACTTCTAGATAATTTATAAGGGATATCCAACCTATAACCAAATCTTACACACATAATTTAGGCAACTGTCAGGAACATACTGCGAAATAACAACCCCTAGATATCCGTAAATATAAAATTATATATACATACAATTTTAACAGCAACGTG